GTAGTAACCAATAGATCAACAGCTCACGGCGCGTGAGCTACGCAAACATAACAGATTCACAGATTGAAACACACGCTTGGACAGTGCTTAAACTATTTCATTTCGTCCTTAGTGTGTTTCTATCCCTTAACCTCATTATTTTCTCTTAATCATGGCCTAGGAATGCCAAGGATGCAATGGGAATGCTAAAATGTACTTGAAAACACTTGAGCAAACATGCTAAAAATAGGGGCCTTGCTTAAACGAGCGTCCAAACATGTGAGAGGTCACTCGAGCGCAACTTCCTTAGCTCAAGCGGTCTGTAAACTCAGTAAAAGTACTGGTCATGTGAATTTCAGCTCGACGGTCGCTCAAGAATGAGACTGAGGTCCTTGCTCTGGCGCAACTATTGTCGCTCGAGCGGTCTGCAAAACATAAAAACTTTTGGGATGATGCATTTAATGCTCGAGCCAACTTTTGTTTGCTCGAGTTGGCTTGAGCGGGAGTGCTAAAGAAAGAGTGGTTGCTTGAGCACAAGTTCTGTCGCTCGAGTGGAGTGCAGAATTCTGGAATTTCCATATTGCACTCCCAAGTTCAAAACTCGAAGTCAAAACTTTAAAATACACCCTTTGGGCCCCAAAACTTGAGAAAACATGTCTAAACTTGTCCAACATCATGAAATCAAAACCATTTCACCAAATCAAGGCCCAAAAGCCTACCAATTTCTCAAAATTCAACTTGAAACTTAAGAATATGATGTGAACATGGCATGCATGAATTGTCATGACTTTTAAGCTTTCAAATCATGATCTAACAAGGTTAAATGGAATGAAACTTCATGAATTTTCAAAACTAAGGTGAAATAATAACATGCATGAGGAAAATTCTTGGAAACAACTTCAAAATGCATGAAATGTACATGCATGCATGATTTAACTTAATTCACTTAATTCTAGCTCAATTCTTGTAATTCATCTCCCAATTCCCATGAATGCTACTATTAGCTATTTCAATTACATAATTAAAGGGTTGAGTCCTTACCTATTGTTTAAGTTTCCAAGCCAAAACCCCAAGTTCTTCTAATTTCCCATAATCCTGTAGTTGAATTCAAGTCTTCTTTTTCTCTCTCTTTCTCTCTTACATTTGAGCTCAAAAGATAAGGGAATGAGAGTGTAAAGTGTATAGGAAGTGCTAGGGTTGGCTTTATATAGGCTTGATTAAGGAGTGCAATCAATGACTAATTAAGTGACATTAATTATTCTAATTGAATTCGTTCTGAATCATATTTTAATTAAACCTACCATAAAATTCTAAAAATTTCAACTTACTCTAAATTCAAGTCAATTTCGTGATCGGATGTTGATAAGGCCTTCAATTCGCAGAACCAAACAGAAATAGAAATTGATATTTCTATAGCAGACAGATATAAACACACATAATGCAATGCACATGTAATTAACTCAGGATTTCATCATAATTACTTATTAGGCATACTTAATTATGGGTTAACAGTTAATTATGGGTCGAGATTGTTACAGTCTTCCCTCCTTAAAGAGTTTGGTCCTCCAAACTCGAATTACCTTCATTTTGGAAGAACATCAGATCCAACAGAAACAAGTCAGGGTATCTTTTCATCATATCTTCTTCAGTTTCCCAAGTTGCATAGGTCCCTCTGTGGTTTTGCCAATCAACCTTTACCAGTGGGATTTCCTTGTTCCTCAGTCTTTTGATTCGACGATTAATAATCTGTATTGGCCTCTCTTCATACATATAGTCATCTTTCAGAAGCACATGAGTTGGTTCAATCACATGGAGTGGATCTCTTAGATAGGCCCGAAGCATTAAGACATGAAAAACATTGTGCATATGTTCCATGACCAGCGGTAAGGCTACCCAATACGTCACCGAATTGATCTTCTCAAGAATTTCATATGGCCCAACATATCTCGGTGCTAGCTTTCCCTTTACACCAAACCGTGTCTGGCCTTTCATTGGAGTCATTTTTATGAACACATGATCTCCGATCTCATATTCTCTGTCTCTTCTCCGGACATCTGTATAACTCTTTTGGTGGTTCTGTGTAGTTTTCGAATGTTGTTGGATCAATTTCACCTTTTCAGTTGTTTCTTGCATAAGTTACGGTCCCAACAATGGTCTATCACCTACCTCAGCCCAGCAAATTGGAGATCGGCACGTCCGACCGTATAGAGCTTCATAAGGAGCCATTCCAAGACTGGAATGATAGCTATTGTTATACACGAACTCGGCCAAAGGAAGATAAGTCTCCCAATTCCCTTAGAAATCCAACACACACATCCATAACATATCTTCCAAAGTTTGATTGGTTCGTTCAGATTGGCTGTCTGTCTGTGGGTGATAGGCACTACTCAGTCCCAGTTCTGTTCCCAAAGCTTGTTATAAACTTTGCCAGAATTTTGACGTGAACTTCAAATCTCTATCAGATACAATGGATACTGGCACACCATGTAATCTCACAATCTCATTCATATAAATGTCATTTATCAGCATTATAAAACGTTTTCACAGGAAAAAAATGGGCAGACTTAGTCAAACGGTCAACAATGACCCAAATAGAATCCATACCTCAAGAGGAGTGAGGTTATCCGACAATGAAGTCCATCGTGATATGCTCCCACTTCCATTCCGGTATTGGAAGTGGCCAAAGTAATCTAGCAGGTCATTGATGTTCAACTTTTACCTGTTGACAATGTAAGCATCTAACCACAAAATCTGCAATGTTTTTCTTCATTCCCAACCACTAGAAATTTTGTTTGAAGTCATGGTACATTTTTGTATTCCCCGGATGCATAGCAAATTTTGAATTATGGGCTTCAGTCATAACACGTTTCCTCAAATTAGAACAATTCGGTACACAAAGTCTATTACGAAATTTCAGCACACCATTTTCAATCACAAATCCTAGCCTTGGTTTTGAATTAATTTCACCAATAACTCATCTTCAAGTTGTTTCTCTCTAATTTCTTCAATGATTGTAGACTAAGCAAAGATGGTGGCTAGAATTCCACCTTATTCACGCAGAACTATCTCAATTTCATTCCTCTCTAAGTCACATAACAATTCTCTCTCGCCAGTGACTAAACATGACAAATTTCCAATAGATTTTCGGCTCAAGGCATTCGCGACTGTATTTGCCTTCCCTAGCTGGTACAAAATCTACAGCTTATAATCTTTAATCAACTCTAACCGTCTTCTCTGTCTCATATTCAGTTTTTTCTGAGTAAAGAAATATTTCAAGCTTTTGTGGTTAGTGTACACCTCGTAAGTCACACCTTACAAATAATGGCGCCAAATTTTTAATGCAAAAACCACAACTGCTAATTCAAGGTCATGAGTTGGGTAATTCTTTTCATGTCAGTAGAGTTGTCGAGAAACATAGGCAATCACCTTTCCATTGCGCATTAACACACGCCCCAAGCCTTTGTAGGAAGCATCACTGTAAATTTGAAACCCATCAATTCCATTGGGCAATGTCAGAATTGGTGCAATTACCAGTCTAGTTTTTAATTTTTGGAAGGCTGATTCCCGTTGATCAGTCCAATCAAATGACACATTTTTCTGTGTTAACTGTGTCAATGGCATGGCAAGTTTAGAGAAGTCTTTTACAAATCTACAGTAGTAGCCAGCAAGCCCCAGAAAATTTTTGATTTCTGACACATTGGTTGGTCTTCGCCAGTCCACAATGGTCTCAATTTTCTGTGGATCCACCGATATGCCGTCTTTGTTGATTACATGTCCCAGAAATGCTACACTGTCAAGCCAAAACTCACATTTGGAAAGTTTGGCATACAACTTCTTCTCTCTTAGAATCTGTAAGGCAGTTCTCAGATGGCTTTCATGTTCTTTCCTACTTTTGGAGTAAATCAGTATATCATCAATAAATACAATGATAAATTCATCAAGGAATTGTTTGAAAACCCTGTTCATTACGTCCATAAATGCTACAGGGGCATTAGTTACCCCAAATGACATTACCAAAAATTCATCGTGCCCATATCTAGTTCTGAATGCAATTTTCTCTATGTCTTCTGCCTTAACATTTAGTTGGTGATACCCGGATCTAAGGTTTATCTTAGAGAACACTTGTGCGCTTTGAAGTTAGTCAAATAGGTCATCTATTCGGGGTAGTGGGTATTTTTTCTGGACAGTCACTTTGTTCAATTTTTGATAGTCTATACACAGCCTCAAAAATCCATCTTTCTTTCTGACAAACAAAACTGGAGCACCTCATGGTGAAGTGCTCAGTCGGATAAACTTTTTATCTAACAGTTCTTGAATTTGGCTTTTCAATTCTTTCAGTTCTGAGGTTGACATTCTATAAGAGGTTTAGGAAATAGGTTGTGTCCCAGGTAGTACATCAATGGTGAATTCAATTTCTCCATTAATTGAATTCCCAGGTAATTCATTTGGAAAGACATCAGGGAATTCGCAAGCAACAAGAATAGTTTCCACATTAGGACTAGTAGAAGTCTTGATCAGAACACAACACATATTGCCCCTATATCCTTTCCTAAGTAGTTTAACAGCTTTCATGGCAGAAATCAAGTACGGTGGAGGAACTACCATATTCCCAACAAACACAAACTTAGGTAGACTGGGTGGACGAAACACAACAGTTTTATTCACACAGTTAATAGTTGCACAGCACTTCGTCAACCAATCCACACCCAATATGCAGTCAAAATGATCAATTCCCAAAGGTAATAAATCAACATACAACGTCATATCACTGATTACAACATCACATGCTAGATAAACATATATGCACATACCATAGAACCCCTAGTCGGTGTAGAAACAAACAATAAATAATTCATAGGTTCTAATGGTCTAGTTAATTTCTGAGAAAAGGCATGTGACACAAATGAGTGTGTAGAACCAGAATCTATCAAGACATATGCATTTTGGACACAGATGGAAATTATACCTGACACCACAATCTCAGTATTCTATACATCCCCTGGCACCAGTGAGAATACTCTTCATTGCCTTAATGTTTCATTTCCAGTATTACCTCTGGCATTAGTTCTTGCATTTGATCTTGTTACAGAGACAGATCCAGCTGAACTTGCTGCAGGGCGGTTGGCATTTTTGAACCCCAATGGACAATCCTTCATTATATGGCCGAGTTTGCCACACCGATAACAAGCACCAGATGCATGGTAACACACTCCTCTATGCTTCCTTCCATAATCTAGATAGTTTGAAATAGATCCACTACTTTGACTAGAGCAACTGGAGGATCCCGTGTTTTGCTTCTTTGAAAATGACCAACCCTTCTTGAAATTGAATCCGAACCTTTTACCTCGCCATTCTGTTGTTGGAGCCTTAGCTTGTTTCTTGGCTGCCAGAATGGCCTCTGCCATCAATGCTCTATCAAGTACTTCCACATATGTAGACAACTTCAAAATGCCTACTCGATCAAACACCTCCAAATCTAATCCCCCCTCAAATTTCTGAGCCTTCTTATAGTCTGTGTTGACCATATGAGGAGCAAATCTGGCCAACTCAGTGAATTTAGCCTCATACTCGGCTACAGACATCTTACCTTGCTTAAGTTCTTGGAATTCAAAAACCTTTCGATCTCGAAAGCACTGAGGAAAGTACTTATCATAGAAAATCTCATTGACTTGAGCCCATGTTATGTTCCCGTTTCTATTTCGAATTAGCAACCACCATCTTCGAGCTTCATCTTTTAGGGTCTGGGTGGCCAATAGAACCTTCTGCATCTCGGAGCAAGGAAACACTTCAAATAGTTTCTCCATTTCAAGTAACCATGTCTTTGTCTTTAAGGGTTCAAAACCACCTAAGAAAGTCAGCGGCTCCATCATCATGAACTTCTGAGTTAGATTTATAATATCATTGTTATCCGGCTCAACTTGGACCAAAGGGGGCGGAGGAGGCATAGGTTGTTGTCATTGCTGCTGTATCATTGCTTCAGTTAGGGCTGCAAGCATTTGTTCCATTTGGCTCATGCGAGCCTCTGAGGATTCATTTGTACTGTCATTTCTTGTGTTTTCCATTTGCTATAGGTAAGCAAAGCAAAAATAAACATAGGCAAGTAATTCCTTCCACATTGTTCAAGGTATTCAGTTTCAGTGCATTTATTTCAATTGTGTGAGTTCATGTTGAGTTCTTGTTCAGAATCAATTTCCATAGTTATAGAAATTAACTCACACACTCACATATGCAGGTGAAATGTCTCTACTTCTTTTCCAGAATGTCCTATAGCTCTTATGGACTCATTTGTGTAGTATAACTCATGCTTTGATACCACTCTGTCACGACCCAAACCCGCCCCTACCGGTTTAGCTTCATAACCGGCCAGTAATCCTCAGTTTACCGAAGGCCTCTGATCTGACTAGCAAAATATAAGGGGCTAGTGGAAGCAAACATAGAAACATACATAGTCCATTAAGTTGGGTAGACATACATTGGACAGAAATTCAAAAACTTATAATATAAATAGACGTGACGTCATAAATACATAGTCTACATCACTTTCGTTACAGATAAAGCAAAACGGAACCGAGCCCAATATACAACTAAACAAGAAACTTGTTCTGAATCCAAAAGTAAACAAAGCCTTTTACGTTCACAAAATAAGACTTGGAACCTCCTCGGGAGGCACAAGGCCTGGCTGACGAACTAAAACTCCAGATTATCAATTTTGAGTCTGGTCATGTGCCTGGTCACCTACATACATAAATAATAGAGTGAGCTGGAGCTCAATGAATAATGACAGAGTAAAGGTTTTAATGAATGATGCCCAGAACAGATTCCATACCTTTTATCATATCAGATACATAATCATATTCGTATCAGAAACAGAATCATATTCATAATCCCATTCAAATCGTGCATGGTACATCCATGAACATTAACATATTCCTATGGTCAAGCCTATCAAGTTCCATAATGGAACCTCCAGTACTGTGTAATATATCTCACACATGGGCCACAATATTGTTCCCCTGGGCAAGGGCCTGGCCACGGTATTATTCCCCTGGACAAGGGCCTCATGACCAAAAGCCACAGTACTATTTCTCCTGGGCGAGGGCCTCTGCTAAGGATAACACATAAACATGTCAAAGAAGTGGATCATCATTCATGTAATCACAACATATCCTTTTGTATCGTTAAAACAGTTCATATCGTACCATAATGTTCGGAAAGTACTTTATAATGAACATAGCTTTACTAAGTTATTACTCACAATAATTGCACATATAGCTTTGGTAGTAATCAATAGATCAACTGCTCACGGCGTGTGACCTACACAAACATAACATATTCACAGATTGAAACCCACGCTTGGACAATGCTTAACCTTTTTTATTTCGTTCTTAGTGTGTTTCTTGCCCTTAACCCTATTATTATGTCTTAATCATGGCCTAGGAATGCCTAGGATGCAATGAGGATGCTAAAATGCACTTGAAAACACTTAAGCAAACATGCTAAACATAAGGGCCTCGCTCGAGCACAACTTCCTTTGCTCGAGCGGGCGTCCAAACATGTGAGAGGTCGCTCGAGCACAACATCCTTATCTTGAGCGGTCTGCAAACTCAACAAAAGTACTGGTTGCGTGAATTTTTCGCTCGACGGTAGCATGACAGTCTCTCGTGTCGAGACCCTAATTTTTGTAATTACCATTAAATCCCTAACCTTCATTTTATTTCAATAAAGCCCTTGAATTTTTATTTAATTGCGTTTTAAACCCTAGAATCAAAAAGCATCGCGGATTAATTCAAGTAAACCCTAATCGATCCCGGTAGATTAATAATCACCTTTAAAACCATATTATTAATTATTAGACCCTATAATTATAGATTCATCACTTTAAAATCTTAATTCCCGGTAACGTCGTTTTTGCTCGGTTTCTCGCCTTTGTTTGCGCTTTAATTTAACAGGATCCTAATTTATTATTTTAACTATTTTCTAAGGCTAGTATATTGCATGCTAAATATCAAGGTTTCATAAATTTAGACTTGGTCCCTATACACTTTTATTTTATTACATTCCAACCCTTAATTGTAATATTTTATTAATTAATGTACTTGTATTATATTATGTTTATAAATACAAATATCTCATACAAATATCATATATATACATATATATGTCTTGGAGCCCAAGTTGTTGACCATGTGATGGATAAAAGGGCCATAATGGCAACTTTGACAATTTGCACTTAGGGAAGTTAGTCCCCAAGAAACCTTCCCAATCTTTTCTCTATATATATATGCACACTTCTCCCCCTTATTATATACATTTTTTTCCATTCACTAGAGGAGTGAGAGAGAGTGATCTTGGAAAAAAAAAAGAGAGAGGGAGAGAGTGAGAGAGAAGAAGAGGAGAAGAAAAGGAAGAATTGTGTTAGTCTTGTACAACAAAGGTAAACATTCAACATCTCTTCTCTCAAGTTCTCTTACCACTTGTTTTTCCCCTCCTAATACATGCTCTTTGTATATATATGTTGTAGTCTAGGCCTACACTCCTGTATAAGTGTATATTAATCAAGAAATGGTATGCTTCACTTTCTTTCTTAAATTTCCAGCAGCAAACCTTTTCCCTCTCTTGAATTTATTTTCCTATCAAAACTCCATAAACTCAAAATCTGTTTTTATGGTACAATATTTGGTATGTCTAGAGTATGTGGTAATTTTTGTAGGTCCTAAGGATGCGTTTTTATAACCTAAACAATTTTTCTAAGTTTGTTACTCACAGAACCAGAAAAACAGTCAACTTTATCTATTTTTAGAAAATTCCAGAAAAATAATCTTGAGTCCAATTTTATGTCAAAATCTTAATCTTGGTGTTATATTTTAACTAAAATTTGTTTGAACTCAAGAGAGTGAGGGGTTTGAGAGAAAAACCGATTTGCGTAACGGTCAACGAATCTGGACAGATCTTGGTAATTCTGAATTATCTTAAAATCTAAAATACCTATCCTACTTTCGTAAATTGAGTTTGAAACTAGACTTATTTATCTACAAACTCACATGAAGCCAGGTACTTAGGGCCAATAAAATTATTTTTTCAAAATTATTTTCAAACTGGTTCAAAATCTGGAAATTTGTGTTAATATGCTCTTAGTTGGTTTGCAACTCTTATGTTCAATGTTTCTTGAATGTCTTAGTCTTGATATGTAATCTGTGATAAATTGTAAATTTGCTTTACCATGAATAAATTAATTGTTGTTTAGTTTGGATTCGTAATTATACTGACCATGCTTTGCTATAACTGATAACATAATGCACTTAATAAAGGAGAAATCAAATGGGATAGTAATGGGTTGTGATCATTGTATTAAATTTTACGAGATAATGAACGATGGATTCAAGAGTATGATATAGTGGAATGTATTCCATTTTTGTGAAGTCTTGTGCAAGTGTGTTTCCGAACCCTAACATGGCACGGGAGGTATTCTGGCTGCTTAACGGAAATGGGAGGCATAAGGGTGGCAGTGAGGGTCTCACACAGGGAGAGTATCCCTGGAAGCCCGTTTCCTTGGGGCAGACCGTGATGTCACCACTTGGGTAGGTAACCTAGGTGTGTGGGCATCATTGGTAATTGTGCGGTAAGCGACGCATTGGTATTGTATTAACCAAGGGGGAGTCAGAATTGCCCGTGGCCAGAGTTAGTGGTTGGGTAGGAACGGCATTCCGCGGGGAGTTGCCTAGAACTAACTAAAATTGACTATTATTCATGAGAACTGAAATTTAATTATAATCTCTGCTTGATTATTACTTTCGTTGTATGTTATGACCATGCCGTTATGTTAATTGTGTATTTGGAATGGGAAAAGGGTTGGGGTGTGTGTGTTTACTGGGCATTCCAAGCTCATGGCGTTTTATGCCAGGTGAAGGCGAGTTTTACACCAAGAATTGAATCCCTAAAAGCTTTGTGGAATCGTGGCTGCCTTAGAAATTAGATTGTATATTTCCTGTATTTTGGATAATCTTTTGTATCAAGGAACCGATATGTATTTAAAGACTTGAAGAATTTTATCTGTAACTATTATTAATATTTTATTTTAGTGTAATTATTTGCATTTTGTGCTTAAAAATGATGTGTACCCTCTAGTTAAACCCCGGTACATCGTTGTATTATATTATCAAAATTTGGGGCGTCACATCTCGAGCGTAAGACTGAGGTCCTCGCTCGAGCGCAACTATTGTCGCTCGTGCAGTCTACAAAACATGAAAACTTCTGGGAGCAAGCATTTTACGCTCGAGCCAACTTTTGGTCGCTCGAGCGGGAGTGTCAAAGAAAGAGTGGTCACTCGCGCACAGGTTCTGTCACTCGAGCGGAGAGCAGAATTCTGAAATTTCCAGATTGCACTCCCAAGTTCAAAACTCGAAGTCAAAACTTTAAAATACACCCTTTGGGCCTCAAAACTTGAGAAAGCATGTCTGAACTTGTCCAACATCATGAATTCAGAACCATTTCGCCTAATCAAGGCCCAAAAGCTTGATAATTACTTAAAATTCAACTTGAAACTTAAGAATATGATGTGAACATGACATGCATGAATTGTCATGACTTTCAACATTTCAAATCATGATCGAACAAGGTTAAATGGAATGAAACATCATGAATTTTCAAAACCAAAGGTGAAATAATATCATGCATGAGGAAAATTCTTGGAAACAACTTCAAAATGCATGAAATGTACATGCATGCTTGATTTAACTTAATTCCCTTAATTCGAGTTCAATTCTTGTAATTCATCTCCCAATTCCCATGAATTCTACTATTAGCTATTTCAATTACATAATTAAAGGGTTGAGTCCTTACCTTAGCTTCTCAATTGAATGCTAGATAGCTAATTGTTTAAGTTCCCAAGCCAAAACAAGTTCTTCTAATTTCTGACAATCCTCTAGTTGAATTCAAGTCTTCCTTCTCTCTCTCTTTCTCTCTCATGAAAAGATGTGGGAATGAGAGTGTAAAGTGTATAGGAAGTGCTAGGGCTGTCCTTAGATAGGCTTGATTAGGGAGTTTATTCAATCACTAATTAAGTGACATTAATTATTCTAATTGAATTCATTATGAATCACATTTTAATTAAACCTACCATAAAATTCTAAAAATTCCAACTTACACATAATTCAAGTCAATTTCATGATCGGATGCCGATAACGCCATCAATTAGTAGAACCAAACAGAAACACAAACAAATATTCCTATAGCAGATAGATATAAACACACATAATGCAATGAACATGTAATCAACTCAGGATTTCATCTTAATTACTTGTTAGGCATACTTAATCATGGCTTAATAGTTAATCATGGGTACGGTGTTGTTGTTACCATACCAAGAAGTGGGTTAGATGAATCGGTGTCCTTAGTACACCTTTAAGAATTCCTTATCAGGTCATTAGGAGTTAATAGTGTTGGTGTTTAGGGTAGTTAATAGTGGTTGGTGTGGAGTGACTGGAGTTTCTTTTGTAGAAAATTATTCCTAGTCTACTGAGGGCAGTTAGTTTTGTTTTATGGTTGTTGCTTTTAATTTTGGATTCACTTTTGTTTTGGATTGGCAATATACGGAATTGTGTTGATGTGGTTTGTTATGTGTTTCCTGTAATGAAGGTAAGGTTCATTTTGTAACTATTGTCCTCGGAATATGAGTATTTTTTATTTGTGCGTTAAGGGTTGTGAACCCAAGATGTTGATATCTTGTTTGATTAGAATTGGGAAATACGGTAGTTATACTAGGACGGCTCATTTCATAGGTATATTTTGAGTTGGGTGGCAGTGACACGTTAAAAGATTTAATGGGAAGTTTTGGAAGTAATTATAGAGCTGAATATGTGTTAGGGTGACCTTTTGTCCTGGGTTGATAGGAGCCTTTGTAAGTTCGAGAATGAGTGCAAAATTGCTTTCTTTGGCTTGGTTTAGTCATCATTTCTTTATAAGAGCGCGTGGACAGTTTGTTAGTATTTGAGCTGTTAAGACCCCTTTATGATTAGTTATGTTTGGGAAGTGTGAATTTTGGGCTCATGAGGTGAAATTCTAAGAGGCGTTGAATTTGAGGGAAGGCGGTGACTCGAGGTAGTGATGGTAAGGGGTTCAAGTATGTTATTAACGAGGAAAGTCAAGGTAGTGACCGATACATTGGGTAGAAATTCGACAAGGGGCGTAGTGAGCGTAGTCCTACTTGGTATTCTTGTGAAGTGGGGCGAGTTAATCCTTAGGTGTGTTTAATCTTGTGTATGCCTTAAGATCATTTGTTCGGAGTGTTATCTGGCTATGCATTTTGATCAGTGTTGTTATTCCCGAGATGGGGACGATTGTGGCAGCTTGTTTTGCTAGAAAGGGTGTAGTTACGGGTGGTCGGTGGATGTCATAGTTGTGGTAATGGAATGTAATTTTCTGGTGATTTTGTATTGTTGTTTAACTTCTTGTTGTCATGTTTAACATGTTCTATTTCTATGTCGTAATAGGATTACAATTTTATTTTTGAAGTGATTGTGTCATTGGTTGAGTGACGGTTAGGAGCGTTATTAATTGAAGTCTTTTGGAAAGGAAATTGGGAACTAAAACTGTGCTTGTTAGAAATTTGGCAGTTTTAAATTGGTAGTGGGTTTGTTTAATGCACCTAGGTAAAAAGGAGATTTTGAATTTTGTGCGGGCGGGTAGCCCGAGGTTGGTTTCAGAAGTTGTCTTGTTGATGTTGTGGTTTGGGTCTTGGCGTAACAGTAGTGTTGTTTTTATGGAAAACAAAACAAATAAGAACAAAAGTTTATGATGGGCCTTGTTTTCAATTTCAGAATTTTGGTGTGCCTGCTGTGGCAAGTTTTATTTATACAGTAAAAATTGTAACTTAGAATTCATGACGGGTGCTAGGTAAGGTCTTATTCTCTTTTGTGTGTGGTTGTGTTCCTCGGCGTAGTTGGGTTAGTTGGGTTATTATAGATTAGAATTTCGTCTTTTGAGAGATTTTTCTTTGGGAATGTCTATGTTGTTAGTGAAGGGAAAGATGAAGATTTTGGGTGAATAGAGCATTCAGGGTGGTTATATGCATTGAGGTGTTTTTGGGTTCGAAATAACCGAGTGTGATGTGCATTTGAATTTCCTTGCTTGAAGTGTTAATTTTACCTTGTTATGTGTTTGCGTCGTAAATGATTTTGATGAGTTTCCATGCGTGGTTATAACTCGAATTTCATTTTATTTTATCACATTACTATTGAGAAAGAGGTGGTCATGGTTGAGTAGTTTTTGGTGTTGTGGCTTTTGGGAAGTATTGTTGTGGTTATGATTGTGCATGTGGGTGTTGCTATAGCGATTCTAGTTAAAACCCGACCCGTTCATTGTTTTGGATCCAAGATTTCTTGTCTTGATGGTTGTTCATGTCTTTTTCCATTTTATTCCTTGTTGAGATTAGTTATTGGAGTGTCTTCATGGTGTTTGAAACAAGTTGGGAGTTAGTTTTTCAAAACTTTTGCTGTTTAGATTTTGACTTGTTCGCTCGAGCAAACTTTCTTGCACTCGAGCAAACTTTGAGAACTTCCAGTACCTCTGCAGGCTTGCAAAACTATTGGGAGTATGGCATTCTCCTCTCGAGTGGTGTTTCTTACGCTCAAGTGGTCCTTCTTGTTCTCAAGCAGTCTTTTGGAACTTTCAATACTTTTGCAGGCCTACAAAAGTACTGGGAGGGTGGTGTTCTTTGCTCGAGTGATACTTTGTTTGTTCAAGCGGCCTTTCTTTTTGTGTTTGGTCGCTCGAGCAATCTGCGCATATATCAGTCCGTAAAAATCACTTTTTTAGTCACTTTTTCATATATATATATATATATATCTAAACATTTCAAAACCCAAAATCTATACTCTCTCTCTCTCTCTCTCTCTCTCTCTCTCTCTCTAAAACTGATCTTCAACCTCCAAATACATTCAATCTATTGATCTCTACACCCTAGTCCCTTTGATAAAAAGGTAAAGGTCACCTAGAGCTTCATTTTAATCTGGGCAAAGTTGATTTTTGGCTTCGTCAAAGTTTCTTCTTTCTCTCCCTTGTCTTCAAACTTTGAGGTAGGGATTTCTCCACATTTTAGTATAATTTTTAACTTAATTATTTCCCTTTTCAAAGAAATAATGGGATTTAGAGATTTTGGTAAAAATCTGGGGTTTTGGTTTTCAAATCAAAAAATGGGTTTTCAAATCAAAAAAGGGGTTTTCAAATCAAAAAATGGGTTTTCAAATCAAAAAAGGGGTTTTCAAATGGATTCTTGAAAATGATTGTGGGTTTGTAAATGTGATTGATTTGTGATAAAATGGTGGATTTTTATCCTTGGAATTGGTTTATAAGGAAAAAAGGATTTTGCCTCAAATTGTGAATATTCGATTTTGTAAAGAGAAAATGGAAATGATGTTGGGTTTTATGAAATTAGAATGATGATGATGGTGGTGGTAGAGTTGGATATGTATTATCACTCCTATCTTGAGATTTGGAAAGTATATCTTTATTGAAAATTATTTATCTGTTTAGAGATATCTGTTTTTGGCTATCGGTGGACGATAGTTATGATTATTATAGAAATTAAATGAGAATTAGGCGAACTGAAACTAATTTTTCATCCATTTGCATTGAGCATTGTTACATATTTAACACATTGAAAATGTATACTGTTTTGAGAAAAATTGGTGAATACCTTGGTAAATCTGGGTAGGAAGTGTAGTTGTGGTATTAAGTTGGCCTGTGTATCCTTGGTGGAAGTCTAGAAACTCGCGTGGATAGGTGCCGAGCCTTCCGATTAATATAGGTAAAAATGGCAATTGGTAGTGCTTGTAGCCTACTTGTAGACACGTCTTAGAGATTTCCAGTGTTGTATCTACTGCCCTGTTTTCTATTGCAGAGGAAATGATTTCATGAATTGTGATATAAACCTAGAATTGCATGGTTTTTGGAAAGAGATATAAAACGTTTTGGCTTGAGCATTGCATATTCACTCACCTTATAACTCTGTTAAGATTTATACACTATGTTAGAGTATCTTTACTGGGCTTTGGCTCACCCTATATGGAAAATCATTTTTAGGTGCTGATGATATGCCTCCACCAAGGTCGT